GTGTGTGTGTGTGTTTGTGTGTGTGTGTTTGTGTGCGTGTGTGTGAGTGTGTGCGTGTGTGTCTGTGTGTGTGTGTGTATGTGTGTGAGTGTCTGTGTGTGTGTGCGTGTGAGTGTGTGTGCGTGTGCGTGTGAGTGTGTGTGCGTGTGCGTGTGCGTGTGAGTGTGTGCGTGTGCGTGTGAGTGTGTGCGTGTGCGTGTGAGTGTGTGCGTGTGCGTGTGAGTGTGTGTGCGTGAGTGTATCTGAAAGTGTAAGAATGCAAACAGGTTTTCTGTAAGGGGTAGGTTTAGGGTTGGGTTAGTGGATAAAAAATATCATTTGGTCAGTATAAAATTAATAGAAGTCTATGGAAAGTCCCCACAATTCACAGAAACAAACATTAACACAACTGTTATGTGTTGTGTATCTCCCAAGAAAGAGTCTTGACATGAAGTTTGAAGCTCTGCAGCTGTTTGCTGCCAAAAATGACCATGACGTCTGACGGACAAGCTCTTCCTCCGACCAAACACAGCTTTACTTCATCTGAGACTCATGCTACTACAGTACCAGCAATATTACAGTTATAATAATACTTTTTATGGTACTTTATGGTATACTTTTCTGTCCTTAGTCACTGTATGCTTGCTTTGCATGGAAAGGAGGAGCATGGACATTGTGTTAAATATCTCCTTTTGTGTTTTACAGAAGAAAGAAAGTCGTACAGGACTGAAACAACATGATCAGAGTAACTGAAGAAGTTTTATGTTGAAATATCCTTTGAAAGTTTTTGAAAGTTTTTTTTTTTTTGAGGAGAACAAAAGGGGAAACATAAATTAATGCTCTTAAGGGTCTGAAGAGGGAAAGCCATTAAAACACGAGTCTCATTGGTGTCAGACTGCCACGTTGTCAGTCTTGTGGCGCGGCTGATGTTGTCCAATGCTGTTCAGAATGTGAACGAGCCACAAATCAATGTGTTGGCGTCTGTGCCGCGCCGGTGATACGAAACATCTGTGTCGTGATGTATGTTCAGCTGCTCATCTTAATGCAAGCGCTTTAATCATTTTAGACACATACAGGACATGCCATTTACTGCATTTCTTTATGAAAAAAAAGACAATTCTATCTATACAGTACTGTGCAAAAAAAATCTAAAATTCTAGTGGCCTAAGACTTTTGCACAGTACTGTATATGATTATATGCAAATGATATTAGTATGTATTTTTATTTGATTTATTTTTTTAATGAAGAGCATGGATGAACCACTAGGAGGCATAAGATATATAGCACCAACATTCATTAAAATCATATTTGGGCATAAACTGGAGTTTCTGGTGTGCTCTCTGTGTGTTGTTCGTGAGTGATGACAAAGTTTAGAAGGTGAGGGTCTAAATTTAGCAACTTTTCAGACTACCCCAGCAACTTTTTCTTCCAAAAGCACCTAGCAACAAATTTAGCTATTTCTAAAAAATTTTAATTTTTAGCAACTTTTGATAAGTGATTCAAAAGATAAAAAGGCACACATTTACCATCTAAATGACACAAAAAGAGGAAACCAAAGATGCCTAGCTGTACACACATCACATAAATTAAGGTAACTGCTATGTGAGTGAGTGAGTGAGAGAGTGTGTGTGTGAGAGAGAGTGTGTGTGTGTGTGCACGTGTGAGTGTGTGTGTGTGTGAGTGTGAGCGTGTGCGCGTGTGTGTGCGTGTGCGTGTGCGTGTGAGTGTGTGCGTGTGCGTGTGAGTGTGTGCGTGTGCGTGTGAGTGTGTGCGTGTGCGTGTGAGTGTGTGTGCGTGAGTGTATCTGAAAGTGTAAGAATGCTAACAGGTTTTCTGTAAGGGGTAGGTTTAGGGTTGGGTTAGTGGATAAAAAATATCATTTGGTCAGTATAAAATTAATAGAAGTCTATGGAAAGTCCCCACAATTCACAGAAACAAACATTAACACAACTGTTATGTGTTGTGTATCTCCCAAGAAAGAGTCTTGACATGAAGTTTGAAGCTCTGCAGCTGTTTGCTGCCAAAAATGACCATGACGTCTGACGGACAAGCTCTTCCTCCGACCAAACACAGCTTTACTTCATCTGAGACTCATGCTACTACAGTACCAGCAATATTACAGTTATAATAATACTTTTTATGGTACTTTATGGTATACTTTTCTGTCCTTAGTCACTGTATGCTTGCTTTGCATGGAAAGGAGGAGCATGGACATTGTGTTAAATATCTCCTTTTGTGTTTTACAGAAGAAAGAAAGTCGTACAGGACTGAAACAACATGATCAGAGTAACTGAAGAAGTTTTATGTTGAAATATCCTTTGAAAGTTTTTGAAAGTTTTTTTTTTTTTGAGGAGAACAAAAGGGGAAACATAAATTAATGCTCTTAAGGGTCTGAAGAGGGAAAGCCATTAAAACACGAGTCTCATTGGTGTCAGACTGCCACGTTGTCAGTCTTGTGGCGCGGCTGATGTTGTCCAATGCTGTTCAGAATGTGAACGAGCCACAAATCAATGTGTTGGCGTCTGTGCCGCGCCGGTGATACGAAACATCTGTGTCGTGATGTATGTTCAGCTGCTCATCTTAATGCAAGCGCTTTAATCATTTTAGACACATACAGGACATGCCATTTACTGCATTTCTTTATGAAAAAAAAGACAATTCTATCTATACAGTACTGTGCAAAAAAAATCTAAAATTCTAGTGGCCTAAGACTTTTGCACAGTACTGTATATGATTATATGCAAATGATATTAGTATGTATTTTTATTTGATTAATTTTTTTAATGAAGAGCATGGATGAACCACTAGGAGGCATAAGATATATAGCACCAACATTCATTAAAATCATATTTGGGCATAAACTGGAGTTTCTGGTGTGCTCTCTGTGTGTTGTTCGTGAGTGATGACAATGTTTAGAAGGTGAGGGTCTAAATTTAGCAACTTTTCAGACTACCCCAGCAACTTTTTCTTCCAAAAGCACCTAGCAACAAATTTAGCTATTTCTAAAAAATTTTAATTTTTAGCAACTTTTGATAAGTGATTCAAAAGATAAAAAGGCACACATTTACCATCTAAATGACACAAAAAGAGGAAACCAAAGATGCCTAGCTGTAATTTAATAATAATAATTGAATAATTGTTCATTTATGATACACCTTGTTAGTAGCTTGTACATGTGATTGTTGATCAGCTAGTACATGTAAAAAAAATATCTAGAAAAATGGAAAGTTGTGCGTTTTATTCAGCAATAACTGGATACTTTGTCCATATTAGGGATTTCCTGGAGTGTCCTTAGTGCTATTACTTCTGCGATGCATATGTGGATTTTCTCTGCAAGGGCGCCCTCTGGCTTCCAGTGTGAATTAAACAGTCATTACATTACGTGTGTACTCAGTAATGCTCACAACACCCTATTTTGGGTAAAAATAGGAAAGATAATTATTTTCTCTAAAAAGCCCATATCGCCCAGCTCTAACACTCACCAGGAAGCGCTCCAGCCTGGTTCCTCCGGCGTTCCCTATGAAGATGCCGGAGCTGGGCTGGAAGGTGAGTGGGTCTGGACTCCTGCGGAAGGCCACGCGGTGCTGCTCCTCACAGTCCATGTACAGCTTCACCTCCTCTCCCTGTACAGCCAGCGTGAAGCGCGCCCAGCGGCCCGTCAGATCGCCCATCTTGAATGAAGCCGCCTCCTGTGTGTGCGCGGCCCCGGGCTCGGTGTAGTACAGAACCACGCGCTGGGACCCGTCCTCCACCGGCGCCAGAGACACTCCCAGATGGACGATCTTCTGCAGCGCGTCTGTGACGGCGAACAGCACTCCTCCGCGCCGAGAGATCAACAGATATGTCTGTGATTGGCTACATTGCTCAATGCTGCAAAAACACGTTGAAATAGAAATAGCAAACCATAACGCACTGGGCTGCGTTTCCCAAAAGCATCGTAAGCTTAAGTACATCATAGACCCATTGTATTACGATAAAGTCTATTTGATTACATATTTCTGTGTGCAACAGTGCAGAGCGACATGGCGCAAGGCGGACGTGAAATTGAGGAGTTGATCACTTTTACAATCTGGAAATGGTTTGGTCAGGGCTGTACTGTACAGTGCGACAAAAAATCGCTCTGAGCCTTGACCAAGATTGCTTGAAGAACACAGATAAACCATATATTTTGTGCAATCGTATGTTTATTGTCTTTAAGTTTCATCAGTTAAAATTTCTCTATCTCCGTTGTGCGTTTTATTCAGCGATAACTGGATACTTTGTCCATGTTAGGGATTTCATGGAGTGTGGTTAGTGCTATTTCTTCTGCGATGCATATGTGTCCACCGGCGCCAGAGACACTCCCAGATGGACGATCTTCTGCAGCGCATCTGTGACGGCGAACAGCACTCCTCCGCGCCGAGAGCTAGGCCTGGCCGTCACCACGATGGAGAAGTCACGGTAGAACGGGTCGGGGATGAAGGAGCGCGTCAGTCGGCCCACGTTAGCGTCCGGACCAAAGCTATACGCCGGGAAGCCCTCCAGGCCCGTGACGAAGGACACAGACGGCGGCAGAGGAACGCCGATGAGCTCGGTGAGGTCCAGCTGAGCGCTTGAGTCCCGCTCTGCACAGACGGAGAACAGAGTCAGCAAACGCGTCCGGACACAGCCGGTCGCCGGGATGCAAGATATCAATATTATTGTCCAAAAACATAGACCTAACCCTATCCCTGGTGAACGTGATTTCACCAAGTACAACATGTTCCTGGATTAAAGGGGTCATCGGATGCCCATTTTCCACAAGTTGGTATGATTCTTTAGGGTCTTAATGAAAAGTCTATAAAATATTTTGGTTAAAATTTCTCAATGGTAGTGTAAAACAACACCCTTTTTACCCTGTCAAAAACAGCTCAAATGGTAGTGTAAAACAACCCCCTTTTTACCCTGTCAAAAACAGCTCTGTTCACAGAGAACAGTTTCGGTGCATGTCCCTTTAAATGCTAATGAGCTCTGCTGACCCCGCCCCTCTCTTCCGTGGGGTGACGAGCCATTCTAATGAGACTGTAAACTTTAGCCACATTCGTCATGGAACTTGCTAACTAGCATGTTACTAGGACAGGCGATTTGCAAAGATTCATTAAAAACTTTACACTCACTTCTTCTGTAAGTGAAGCTGGATCACGAAATAGGCACAATGGCGTGCATTTAAACGTTTTACTAACACCTTGAATTGAACACACTTTTTCATAAAAACTGCAGTTACAATTATTCATACAATGGATAATTTATAAGCTGCATTACAAGGCATAATTCATGCATTAAATTATTTTATAATGCATTAAATATAAAGGTTTCAGGTAAAGTCTTACCAACGTTTATTTACATCTTTATATGCATGAAAGCATGCATGAGTTTGGAGACTTGTTTACATCAGTGAATATGTTCACAAGCACAGTCTTACAGTGATAATAACCTAATCACCTAAGCGTAATAACCCGATAATGTGTCATCATGTAGGTCAGTGTTTTGTTATGCATGAAAACACACTCAATGATCAGTAATCTGTTATTATTTATTTCCATGTGCACACTTGTCCCTTCATGAATTCTCCATAGATGTGCCCAATAATACGATTTCAGCAGTCTGTTGTGCAACTAGTGGAAACACTTCGCCAGTATGAAGACGTTTGGGAACGGCGTGTATTTCTCAGAGCAGAGAGGTTCACTCCAGACCAGATGAAGACTGGACAATCAAAGGCTTCTGGGTAACGCCTGAAGGTTTGAGTTACTGGCTCTCGGTGGGCTGAGGTCATTTAATGTATACATTTAATGTTAACAGTAAATATCTTTCTCTTTGAGGTCCAGTGGTATATGATGCACGAACCCCAGAGATCCAGATCTTGTGGTTGATCAGAAAGAACACCAGAAATGACGGGAACATGAGAGAAAACCACTGAGGTCCACGGAAGTGACCGCTGTGCTGTTTGTTAGTGATGAAGCGAGCGTGACGATGAAACACAGATTAAGAAACAGACCCTCGGCTCACACTGAGAAAATCAGAATCTGATGAAGTTTGTAAATGTAGAAGTACAGCGCGAGCGTGAAGGTCATTGCTGGCTGCGCAGCCCCTCATCTGTCTGAGCTCGTGGATGAAGTGTTTTTAGTGAGAAAATGAGCAGATGCAGCAGAATGAAGGGATCTCAGTCGTCCAACATGAGGTCTTGAATTTGGCAGATCGTGCGGCACAGGGAGGAGTGTTAAACTCAATCTATAGACACTCCCATGAGCCTCAGAGGAGACGACCTACATGACAGAAAGGCCTCGCTTTATTCATGAGCTCATACACCAGAACAGCAGCGGAGCGACTGGATCAGAGCACCAAATGCTTAACCAAGACTAAATAAATGAGTAGAATGTGTAGAATGTGAATAATAGTCCACTGAGCACAAGAACACAAGAGCACAAGAAGTTCAAAAGAACAGCATTTATTTGCAACAGAAATCTTTTGTAACATTATAAATGTCTTTACTGTCACTTCTGATCAATTTAATGCATCCTTAGATAAAAGTATAAATTTCTTGCCAAAAAACAAATTCTTACTGACTCCAAACATTTGAACAGTTTCATGCTATATTTAATTAAACTTGATGAAAGCTGAATTAACTAAACTATATCTCATTGTATTGTAGCCTGTTAAAGTGCCACAGATCTTTGCTTTCAGTCTTCACAGATCCTGTAATATCAGCTGAATCACACACTGCGCTACAGATTTCAGCATCAAGCTAAAGAACAAACACACACAGCTTTCATTTCTACCAGCAGCACATAAACAAGCAGAGCGGCATGTCTGTGGTTCCAGATTGTCCAGCGCTTTCACTGAGAGAGCAGAGCTGGATAATTCATCACCGCATATTCATCTCTCGCTTATTCACAGAAAACCAACACTAAATGTCACTCAGATCCTTAAATACTTCACTGTGAAATATGTCGTTTCTCAGAAAATGACAACAAAGCACACACTAGCAGTTAGTGTTCTGTGTAAGTACACTAAACAAACACCAATCCCAGCATTCAGCTCACAGACAGTGACAAACTGAATCGCTCTGAAAAACTGCTTAGAAATTCAGTCACTGGAAAACAAAATCAAACTATCTTATTAAATGCATCGCCAAGAGCGTGTTACAGTTTTTACAGTCGTTAGGAGACATTTCTCAATACTTTTTTCAAAACTCTTCACACAGTTCTCCTAACCATCTTTCAACTTGGCACAACAGTTACAGGTTTTTTTTTTTCAACTGCTTACATTTTCAAAACTGTGCCTCTTTTTTTCAAAACTTTACACACAAATCCAAGAATTGCCTCAGATTTTGGGAAACATTTAATTAACTAAACTATATCTCATTGTATTGTAGCCTGTTAAAGTGCCACAGATCTTTGCTGTCAGTCTTCACAGATCCTGTAATATCAGCTGAATCACACACTGCGCTACAGATTTCAGCATCAAGCTAAAGAACAAACACACACAGCTTTCATTTCTACCAGCAGCACATAAACAAGCAGAGCGGCATGTCTGTGGTTCCAGATTGTCCAGCGCTTTCACTGAGAGAGCAGAGCTGGATAATTCATCACCGCATATTCATCTCTCGCTTATTCACAGAAAACCAACACTAAATGTCACTCAGATCCTTAAATACTTCACTGTGAAATATGTCGTTTCTCAGAAAATGACAACAAAGCACACACTAGCAGTTAGTGTTCTGTGTAAGTACACTAAACAAACACCAATCCCAGCATTCAGCTCACAGACAGTGACAAACTGAATCGCTCTGAAAGACTGTGACTGGAAAACAAATTCAAACTATCTTATTAAATCAATTTAAGAAAACACAATTTTAAGTACTCTTATATTAAATTATTATATTAATAAAATATTATAGTTTTTTTCAGCTGCTTACACACTTTCATTTTCAAAACTGTGCCTCTTTTTTTCAAAATTTTACACACAAATCCAAGAATTGCCTCAGATTTTGGGAAACATTTGAGCGGTTCTTCAAACACAACGGCTCATGAAATGTGACTGGAGACGTCTGCTGTGCTCTGGAATCATCAGAAATCACTCACTGAAAGCCTGATCGTGCCGTAGCGGAGGAAAGCGTGGTCATCATCACACTGAGCGCCTGACAAACACAAACACGCCGCTGTGAAACACAGACTGGAAGTAGCACAGGTGTGTCGCATGCAGAGCATCATGGGAACGCTAGGTTTACTCACAAACATTCACAGACTCCTGCCTGCTTTTCTCAAAGAGTAAACACACCGGAAACACAACTCACAGAGTAAACAGAGAACTAGTGACAACAGCAGCGCTTTGTTCAGAAACGACTCGCTTCACACAACTACTTCAACACGGACTTCACTTAAAATGCTTCTTATTAATGTTGTTTCAACTGCTATTTTTGTGCAATACCAGTACCTTATACAATTCATTAATAAAATAGACTGTATGTGCGGGCCAAAACAAAACTTACATTTTCTTATAAATAGATTTTATAAATAGTGTTATGTAGGATACTGTATAATTTCCCAATGTGTCCTGTATGGAAGCCTGTCTCCACCATGGAATAACAAAATAAAAACCGTAATTGTGTTTTTTCATCTCACATTTATGTCTTTTTTTCTTGCAATTGTGTTTTTTTTTTCCGACAAAAAAATTAAATAAAATTAAACAAGTAACTGTGACTTTATATCTTACAATTATGACTTTTTTCTTGTTTTTCTTGAGTTTAAATTTCACAATTCTGTTTTTTATTTTTCTGAATTCTCATAAAAATGACTTTTTCAAACAATTCCCAGTTTATATTCAGAGTTTAGAGGTCAGAGGCAATTCTGAGAAAATACACTGCAACTTGGGAGCAAAAAATCTCTTAAGTGTCAGATACTGTATAAAGTTAGGACTGTTAAAAAAAAATCATTTTGTGTTAATTGTGAGAAAAAAAAAGTTGCAATTACCCTTTTTCTTTTTTTATTCCGTGGCCTGCTGTTGGGGCATGTTGTCACAGAAGGTGTATTTAATTAACTGCATGAAATTTTCTGTGCACTGATGTTTTGAGATATACAGTAAAGTGTGACAACTAGCCCCAGTCTCCCCCACTAATGACTGTCCACAGAGGATTATATTAAATTATTATATTAATAAAATATTATAGTTTTTTTCAGCTGCTTACACACTTTCATTTTCAAAACTGTGCCTCTTTTTTTCAAAACTTTACACACAAATCCAAGAATTGCCTCAGATTTTGGGAAACATTTGAGCGGTTCTTCAAACACAACGGCTCATGAAATGTGACTGGAGACGTCTGCTGTGCTCTGGAATCATCAGAAATCACTCACTGAAAGCCTGATCGTGCCGTAGCGGAGGAAAGCGTGGTCATCATCACACTGAGCGCCTGACAAACACAAACACGCCGCTGTGAAACACAGACTGGAAGTAGCACAGGTGTGTCGCATGCAGAGCATCATGGGAACGCTAGGTTTACTCACAAACATTCACAGACTCCTGCCTGCTTTTCTCAAAGAGTAAACACACCGGAAACACAACTCACAGAGTAAACAGAGAACTAGTGACA